ATGAGCAGACTTTTTGGGGCGGGAGGGGGGTAAGATTTTATTTATTAGAGAGAGAGAGGGAGGGAGGGCGAGCACTCATGGGGGAGGCGCAGGGGGAGAGGGAGAAGCAGGTTCCCTGCTGAGCATGGAGTCTGACCTGGGGCCTGGTCCCAGGACCCTGAGATCATGACCTGAGCTGAAGTCAGACACTTAAACCGACTGAGTCACGCAGGGGCCCCTCCTTTTTTAAAAAATATTTTGGGGCTCCTGGGTGTCTCAGTCGATACGCGTCCGCCTTCTGCTCAGGTAATGATCCCAGAGTCCTGGGATCAAGCCCCACATCAGGCTCCCTGCTCAGCGGGAAGCCAGCTTCTCTCTCTCCCAGGCCCCCTGCTTGTGTTCCCTCTCTTGCCTGTCTTTCTCTGTCAAATAAATAAATAAAATTTTTAAAAAATTTTTATTTATTTATTTTAGGGAGAGAGAGTGTGTGTGTGTGTGCGCGCGCGCGTAGGGGGAGGGGCTGAAGGGAAGGGAAAGCAGACTCCCCGCTGAGCAGGGAGCCCGACTAGGGGACAAGGGTTTCCGTGTCCTAAGACGGAAGATTCTGAGATCCTGACCCGAGTGGAAACCAAGAGTCAGACCCGTAAGGCTCTGAGCCACTCAGGCACCCCCGAGCAGCTTTCTCCTAAGGCTGCTGCAAACCCCGAGCGAGGACCCACCCCCTCCCGCGCCCCCCGACCCCCACCCCTGCGTTCCAGTCCGGACTCTGCAGCGCGGACTCTGCAGCTCGCTCGCTGTCCTCTTGATTGAGGCCCCCACCCTGCCAGGTCTCTGTTTCTCTATGTGGAAAATGAGATGATCCCTAAAGTCATTTCCGTTGCTGACGGCTACGTTTTGAAACAAATGTATTTACAACCAGGCTTAGCAACAGTTGCCATACCCGGGCTCGAAGAAGAGGCCAGGGTCGGAACAACAGAGGAGCAGAAGGAAGAACAGGAGTGGGGGAGGGGGGAGGGGGTAGATGTGCCATTCTGGTGCAGGAAGCGCGGTTCGCTGAGTGCCTGGTCCCAGTCTCTCTCTGTTCCCCTCTGCTTCCTCCCCGCTTATGCCTTTCACAGGTTGAAGCCCCCTAGAAGCTCGCACCCCTAACTCTAGTGCCTGCTTCCTCTTCCACTGTCAGGGATCCTTGTGATTCCCTTGGGCACCGGGATAATCAGGATAATCTCCCTGTTTTAAGTGAGGCTGATTGGCAACCTTAATGCCATCTGCACCCTTAGTTCCCCTTGGCCGTGTTGCTGAAGATAGTCACAGGGTCCTGGGGTTAGAACTTGGAACTCCCTGGGGCTATTAACTTTCCCAGCCACAGCAGGACTGGAAACTGCCTACCTACCTGATATAAATACCCCCCACCCCCCTGCCCAGGCTGTCCTATGCGAGGACTCTGTGTAGCACATCCTCGGGACAGAATTCTTTTTCTTTCTTTTTTCTTTTTTTTTCTTTTCTTTTTTTCCCTTTCTTTCGTTTTCTTCCTTTCTTTCTTTTTTCCCTTTTCTTTCTTTCTTGGATTTTTATTTATTTATCTGACAGAGGGAGAGACCGCCAGAGCAGGAACACAAGCAGGAGGAGTGGGAGAGGGAGAAGCAGACTGCCCACTGAGCAGGGAGCCCGAGTCTAGTCAAATCTAGTGGGGCTCGATCCCAGGACCCGGGGACCACCACCTGAAATGAAGTGACCGCTCTTCCACATAGGCATACCCCTAGGCCTGGCAGCCTCACCTCTAGGAATGTATCCTAGGAAAAGAATTTGACGAAAGCACCA